TATACAACACGTACAGCTGTAGTTCGTCCGGAGCCGTCTTACAAGATGAATTTGAAACGTATTTCTGTTGAAATATGCGATACATCATTAGGGATGGGTGGGATAATTGGAAATATTTCTTTGTCTAAAGATTATACGTTAATGAATTATTTAAACAAAAATAATAACATTAACGTTAATAAAAATAACGAGAATAGTGCTATAATTGATGGAAAAAATAGTGGATATGATCATAATGGTTTTTTAAGAATACATAATAATAATTTGTTTATTAAAAGTGAAGGAAATAGTAAATTTGATGTTATTGATCTTTAATTTTTTACTTTTGTGTATTATTTATTATTTATTGATTATCATGATTCAAAAGATCTTAAAAACTTGTCCTTTATTTATTTTTTATTGTATAGTTTTTTTTATTTGTATAAATTTGTTTTTTTTTTTACTTAAAAAAGTTAAAAATCTTAGAATTTAATTTGCATTAATTTTTAAAATATATATTAATATTTTTTAATGAATATATTTATATAATATAATATTATAATTATTATAATTATTAATGTTAAAAGTTTATAAGGATTACTTATATAAAAAAAAAATTACCAAAAAAAAAAAAAAATAATATATAAAAATATTTATATTATTTATTTTATATTTTTAACAATATATATATATATATATATTAATAAATACAAATTTTTTTCATTTTTAAATTTTATTAAAATATATATATAAGTATTTTAATCTAATTAAAATTTATTATTTATAATTTATTATTAAATAGTTATTATTCATTAGAATTCTTAGTTTTAAATAGCTTATTTTATAAATGAATATACTATAATTAACATTTTTAAAATTTTTTAATGATATAATTAATTAAAAATTTGCATAATTTATCTTAAATCTTTTTAGTAAGAAAATCTTAATTTAAAATTATTTTTTAATTAATATTAAATTTACTTATAATATAATATTTAAAAAGTTTAAGTATATTTTTAAAATTATCTATATTATAAACTTTTTAAACAACTATTATTTTTTTTATTTTTTATAATAATCTAATAATTAATATATAAAATATAATTTTTCTGTATTTTCTGTATTTTAAAATTTAAGATAAAATTCTTTTTAATTATAGTTGAATTATATTATTTTAGAACTAATTTTAGCTAAAATTTTATAAATTAAATTATAGATGAGAGAAGAAACCTCTTAATAATAGTAATGAAACAATATCAAAATCATAATAAGAGATGCGACGAAATCCTAGAAGGTATCTATAATTAAAATAAATCAAAAACTTTTTAATTTTTACAGATACTATATATGTAATTTATATATATTTTATGAATATTAACACTACAAGATCAAAATTTTGGTAATGCGATTATTAAAATCTCCTATCTGTTATCTTTGTTTTTTTTCTTAAGTGATATGTAGAATTACAATATCTATGAACCGGAAATTCGATTAGATTATATGACAAAATCAAAAGTGAGGTGAGTGTAATCATACCTTATTTTTTATTTGCGGATATTGCAGTTTTGCAATTAATTATTGATGATGTATAAAATTTGTTGTAGTATTTGATTTTTCATTTTAAGCAGAGCAGATAAAGGATAGCCTACTTCCTTTTTATACAATTTGTAATGGTACAAGAATCGAATTTTTCATCCATGGAAATTATGTGTGATCACATCATGGAAATTTCGGTCAATTTAATAGGTATAAATTGCGGAATTTATTAATCAAGATCAAACTAAAAATACTAGAATATAATAACAATAAAATTATAATAATGAAAATATAATAAAATTTCACGAAATTACGAGCTCGTTGATTCTCAAAACGCAAATTTTGTTCTAATTATTTGTGATATAAATTCATTATCTTTAATAGTTATAAACTACGGAAATTATTATTCAAGATCAAACTAAAAATACGAGAATATAATAACAATAAAATTATAATAATGAAAATATAATAAAAGTTCAAGCTCGTTGATTCTCAAGACGCAAATTTTGTTCTAAGCAATTATTGGACCTGTCGCCAAACCATCTCTATAAAAATCTTCATTTTGGAATGACAACAAACTAGCTCCGGATATTTCCTGTCTTTTCAAAATTTCGATAACCTTGTTATTTGACGGATGACATTGACTGATCGTTCTTCAACAAGCCGAATTCGTTCCTCAATGAACCGAACAAGATCATCAATCTGTCGTTCCTCAACGAACTGAACGAGATCAAGATATAGATATCTAAAATCCGTTAATATGATGTTATATCTTGATGTTCTAGCTCTTCTTATTGTCCCAGAGGTATAATTTTCCTTGAAAGGGACTACAAGGATTCCAATTGTAGTACCATTGTGGTACATCGATAAAACCCCTTCCAGGTCACGTAGGATCTCGGGACCTACAATAAATATTAAATTAACGTCGATTAATAAGATTTATATATAATCTACAGCTGATATATTCAACACATTACCTATATTTCGCCTCCTATTTTTGCATTGAACTAAGATCAAGAATCCTTCGTAATTTCCGAACAGATCCACACCACCATCCCCTGGTCTTGGTCTGAAATATCAAAATAAAAAAAGTGAGTGTGTGTCATATTCGTCAAGAACCAAAGAAAAATGTTCACAGTTGCATGTAACTGCGGCCACGATGTGCTTTCAATTCGATGTTTTGTATCCTATTCATCACAAACTCGGGGCTTAAGCCAGTGCAGATTTTTGATACGTTCACAGCAGGCCGTCCACCGTACATCAAGTCTGAATACCTGACTGGCAACTTTCGCAAGCTGTGGCCACGAAGAGCTTTCGACCCTCCGATTTACACCTTGTGGCAGCGTAACTTCAGATACATAACAACTCAACAAATACTCATTAATATAATCACCTTATTCTGTAATACTCTACGTTTTTGACCGGCATTCTAATAAGTATTAATACATTTATTAATACCTAGTTATTTGGCCATTTTGGCCATTGGCCACGGCCAAATAGCCAAAAAATTTCTTGGCCGTGGCCAATGCTCTTCGGTAATCTCTGTTCCGTTGATACGGTGCTTGACTTTGACTTATTACGCAACTTTAAATAGGTCAAATTAGGTAAAATGTTGCGAACGACTGCCGGCAAAGAAATTCCTTCCGAAGGTATCGTTATGATTCATAAAAATTCTTAAAGTTTCATAGTTGTTTCCACTAGTAAATGAGCTCATGATAATTTTACTAGTGTTTTTTTCGTTTGATTTGGAACGACAAGAATATTTGAGAAAGCGAAATGATGCATAAAGAAAATTTTTTCACAAGTAAGGATAAAAATAAAAGGAGCCTATTCAAACGGGTAAATTTTGACTTTTTTTTTATATTAGAAAAAGTCAAAAAAAAGTCATTTGAGCTCAAGAAGATTTGATTAAATTTTATTTCAATAATTACGTCATACATGTAAGCTCATAGGAAGACTTTCTTCTAATTGGTTTAAAATATTAATCAGCATTTCTATAATAAGTACGATCGACAAAAAGGT